TCTACTATTGCCACAGGAAATTAAGACCCAGGGAGGCCGACTGGCTTGCTCAAGGCCACACAGCTGGTCAGTGGCAGAGGCACATTTCGAACATGGGTGTGTCTGACTCCGAAGCCCACATACCTTCTACAACAGTATACAGCTTCACTGTCTACCAATACAAATAAATGAAAATCTGATCTTTTGTTACATCTCTACAGGGAAGGAAGCTCACAATCAGCCTTGGTCACCTTTTTATTGCCTAATATACCTAACAATGGATAAATCTACTTGCCTAAACAATGGCATTATAATGCTTTAATTTCCTATTAAAGAAGGAATTTGGAGGCACAGAAAAGATAAGTGACTCTTTCAAGGCCATTTAGTGAGTAAGAGAGCTCTAATTCTTTTTCCTCTTAAATGAAAACCTCCAAATAGCAGATGAAGTTTCAGTTATTCTGGATTCTGCCAAGAAAGCTGAGCCATTAATTTGGGTCGAGAACTCCAGGATCAAATACACTAAAAAGAAAAGTCTATTTTCTTCTTATATATCCAAATGGATTGCCCTGCAACCTTCTACATTTGTTTCCAAACTTAGCTATGCAGAACAATGATCCGAGATTCTAGGTAGGTGCCTGAACATATGTATTTTTAAATAGCTCCAATGTGAAATTTAAGAACCATTGATCTTGTGAAGGATACAGAAATTGTATTAGTTATCTATTGCTCCCTAACAAACTGCTACAAAATTTATCAGCTTAACACAATAATCATTTATTATCTCGTAGTTTCTTTCTGTATGTCAAGGATCTATGTGCAGCTAAGCTGAGTGCCTCTGGCTCAGGTCACAAGGCTGCAATCAAGGTATCAGCAAGGGCTGCAGTCATCTCAAGGCTTGAGGGAGAGAGGATATTTTTCCAAGCTCAACTCACATGGCTGTTAGCAGGATTCAGTTTCTCACAGGCTGATGTATGGAGGACCTCGGTTCCTTGCTAGCTGTTAGCCAGAGGCCTCCCTCAGTTTCTTGCCACGTGGGCCTCTCCTTAGGGCAACTTACAATATGGTACTGACTTCGCTCAGAGTGCGTGAAGGGGAGATCAAGAGAGAGCAAACAAGATGAAAGCCACAATCCTTTTGTAACCTATTCTCAGAAAAGACATCCTCTCACTCTTGTATTCTGTTCATTAGAAGAAAGTCACTAGATCCAGTCCGTGCTCAAGGAGAGGGGATAACACGATACCAGGAGGCAGGCATCCCTGGGGAACATCTTATAGGCTGCCTATCATAGACATGCAAAGAATTAAAAAACAAGGTGGTAATATATTTCCTAGTTCCATCTGCTAAGATAAGCTAAATTCGATGACACTACAGTACCTAGATCTTGGGTTCTAAATACTATTCCAGGGCTCCTTGGAAAAATGGCTGATTTTAGGGTTGGGGCAAGAAAAATACAAGGTAAGCCTGGAACATCTTGTAATTCTACAGAAAAAGAAGATAATCAGAAAACAAACTTGAGACACACAGTCACCCTAAAAGAACTCCCAATGGCCAAAGCTGGAACAATTTGAGCAAGAAAATAAAAATCAATAGTATAAATATAAAGCAAAGTGTAAAATAAATACACAGTGTCTATATAAATAAATGATTGAATATAAATAAATAAATGGGTAAAAGAGACAAATCTCTCTTACAAAAGAATTGCAAATAACGTATATAGATGTTCCCCTCCAAGAGTTGAAGCTTAATCCCCTACTCCTCTTGAATGCCATTTCAGCAGCTAAAGAGCCAACAGTAAAGCAGTAACTTATCAGAAAGTTCAGCTCTCTTTCCCCCACCCAGATCCCAAAAACATCCAGGGTCACCCCAGGTAGTATGAAGGGAAGTTTGAAGGAAGGGAAGCTGGAAAGGAAAAACCAATCCCTGTTTGTGGGGTGCTTTAAGACACCTTCCTTTTAAAAAGTAGAAAACAACATGTGATCATGTGAACCTAGCGTTAGGGTTCCTCCACAGGCCTTGGAAAGGGCTGATTTTTTAATGAGGATTGGGAATAACAATATTATCTTGTTTTTGCTAAAGATAAGATGATTTGCTTGCTTTGTGATTCTGCAATATCAACATTAAAGAAATTCAATGCTCATCAGCACTATCACACTCAAAAGGATCACAAATATTTTATATTAGAGTCAGAGGCACAAAAGGTTGTATTGCAGAAATCAAAAGATGAAAAGCAAAAGCAAAGACAATTCTTTCAAGCAGCAATAAGACCTGGAAATAATACCACTGAAGCAACTTATAAAGTAGCTTATATACTAGGCGGGGGGGCGGGGGGCGGGTAAGGAAGACATTCAGTGATACAGAAATTGCGAAACAATGCATTGTCAAAGTTGTAGGATGCTTAGACCCCAATAACATTTCAAAGTACAAACAACTGCCTCTTTCAAGGAAAATCATAAGTGATTGGTAGCATGAATTAGCCTTCAACTTAACAGAACAACTTCATGCAATACTTCAAAAGGAAAATATATATTATTCAATTGCTTTGGATGAATCAATTGTTACTACTGATTCAGCACAGGTTTTATATTTCATTTGGGTCATAACAGAAGATTTTCTTTGCTACAAAGAGTTACTCGCTTTGGGCACTCTTGCTAACAGAACATGGGGAATAGATATCTTTAACAACTTTCAAGATAAATGTCGTGAAGTTGGACTGAATTTGGTAAATTTAGTGAGTGTATATAACAGATGGTGCATCTTCCATAACAGGAAAACATGAAAGGTTTATTGCACAGATAAAAAAAAGTATTAACAGATCCAGATGTTCTCATTTCTTTTCATTGTATCTTGCAATAGCAAAATCTCTGTGCTAAAGCAACTATTTTAAGTGACACTTTGCATCAAGTTACAAGTACTGATATCTGTATTACTGCAAATGCAACACGGCATTGCCAGTTTTGTAACACACTAAAGTTGAAGGATGAGGTATTCAGTGTAGATTTGCCTCACCATTCTAAAGTACATTGGCTATCACAGACACAGGTGTTAGCCAAAATTTTATCTCTGTGAGAACAGATAGTTAAGTTTTATGAAGAACAGAATGAGCGATGTGAATTATTGAAATATTTCTATAGGAATGCAACATTTCTGTGTGATGTGTCAAATCAAAACGACTTGAAGATTTCTTTGCAAGGTAAACTAAGTCTATATATGTGGCAAAAAACCCCAAGCATTTCAAAAAAGCTATCTTTTTCCAAAACACTTCTTCAAAAGGAAATTTCAAATGAACATTTTCCCCAGTTAGCAAAGCTCATTGATGAGCAGGATGATATATGTGAATCATCTGAAGAATAAGCAGCTGTTATAGACCTATTAATTGGAGAATACAATGAAAGGTTCACTGACTTTGAGAATCATGACCTCACACTCAAATTAGCATTTCAGCCTCACCTAGTTGATATCAGCAAGGCACCTAAAGAACTACAGATGGACTTGATTGAGCTCTCAGTAGATGACATTTTAAAGTCATTGTTTAATGCTAAGAAAGATTCAATTGGTATATGGAAAATGCAGTATAATACCCACACCTTCAGCAACATGCCCAAAAAATGCTTTCTTGCTTTTCAACCACTTATTGCTGTGAATCTACATTCTCCTTCCTAACCTAAATCAAGACACCCTTAAGTCATAAATGACTGATGCCCATCTAGAAGATTAACTGGAACTGCAGACTTCCATGCTGCAACCAAATATTCAAATGCTTTCCAACAAAAAAGACTCAACAAAGTCATTAAGAGGTTAGCTAACTTTAAAATTAACAAATAAGTTTCATTTTTTGAAATTATGAATTACATAGTGGTTAGATTTTTACAAAATAATGTGCATTTTAAAGTATATCTAATTGAAGTTTCTTTAATGTGGCCTTATTTGATTAGAGCTAAATTAATGTGGCTTTCCAACAAGAAATGGTTCCCCATCCCTGCACTAGCTCTTTCATCAAGCCTCAGACCAAAGCTCAATCCTGAGGAAATGTTCCCTGAGCCACCCTGTAGACTCCTAGGCTCCCACTTTAGTTCCATTATAACATTTGATCACGTATGTTCTTCATGTTTGTATCTCTCTGTTATCCTATAGGCTCACTTGGGGCGTGGTTCAAGGCTTTTTAAAATCTTTGTAGAGTCATAATGGGCCCCCCAACATGCCCTTGTTGAGTAATTAAATTAATGCTCTTGCTGAAGCAGGAAAGCCCTCACCAGGAAGAGACTTGGGCCACTCGGGGCAAGAACATCCAGAGCTCTGGTGCCCTACCAGCGACCTCAGGGATCAATTGCAATGGGAGGGTAAGAGAGACAGCCAATCAGTAACAGCCTCTGGAAAGGCCATACGTAAATACTGACGGGTTCCTCGCCCTACATATGAATCTTTTATCACGCCTACACACTTTACTATGCGGAATACAGTTAGCGACAAATGTAATGAATATATTTTCATGACAGAATTATTTGAAATCCAGAGTGTCCTAGAATATTCAACTATTTAGAAAGCATGTGCCCCGATGAATAGGACTAAACAGACGCTGGAACCGAAGACGGTAAAGTAAAATCCTTATCCATCGGGCACCCTGTACACCCTTGCACCCCTACTCCTAAAGAGAAACGCAGCCGGATGTGAGGTCCGCGTAAGCAGATCTGCTCGGCGAGCGCAAGTTCCTACAGCGTGGGATGAAAAGGGCTCAACATGTTAGGCTAATGAGGGCTTAAGACTCACACTTTTGGCTACATTAAGAAAGTCTTCCTAAGCACCTAGACGTGAAGTTTACAGACACAGGTACTTCGCAGCGGAAAGCAGCGAAAAAACAAAGCCAGGTCCATGCGAAGGAACACTGCCCTCGCACAACCCCGCGCGTGCGCACACCGGCAGCGCAAGGCGGCTCAGCACGCCTGGGGCGGTCGCCTAGCCTTCCGCCGGCAGCTCCCTGTGCCCGCCTCCGAGCGGAGAAAACAGCTGATTGGTCAGCCTGGCCCAGGCTCGGGGGGAGGGAATTGGTTGATTGGTAGCAACGCCCCGGGACAGCCAAGCTAGAAGCTTGAGCAGCTGGAGGTGGTGCTGGCTGCCGCGCGGCGGTGGTAAGTTGGGCTCCAGACTCGGAAAAGCGGTTGACGAGAGGGGCAGGGAGGCGGCTCCGGACTTGACGGCGGTGGGGCGCTCTAGTAACAGTCAGGGCAGGAGCCGAAGGAGCGCGGTTCGGAACTGCATGGAGGCCGGCGGCTCCGTGTGCCGGTTGGTTGGGTGTGTGCCGAGCGGCCGGGAGGCGGAGACGTTCTCGGGCAGCCGGAGTGGCTGAGGGCCCTCGTGGGTACGGGGCTTGGCGGAGCGGAGGGAATTCGGCCGCCTTGCCCTGAGGGCTGAGCTCGCCCGCCCTCCCTCCTATCTACCCCTACACCTCTTGCCCCTCCCCCGCCCTTCGGTCTCGGTCTTTCGGAGTCCCCAGTTCCCGCGCCGGGCGGCGGTCCCCTGGGCGTTGCCCCCTTTCCTGGGACTCCGGGGAGCGCGCTCCGCGGATGCACCTCCAGCCCGGCCTCGCGGATTCCGGGAGGAGGAGAGCACTCACTGGTCGACCGAGAGGAGGTTTAACCAGCCCCACCTGGCTTTTGTTGCTGTGTCACTTTTCGCCTCCCAGAACTTCCCGATGTGTGTTCCTAACCATGACCAAGGTTTGCATGAAGCCCCAAAGTAGGCTTTTGGACATTTTTCAGAAACATTTATTATGGAAGTCTTCAAACTATGGAGAAGTTGGGCGAGTGAATATAAAGAACTCAGTGTGTCGTCAACCAGTTTCAGTAGTTGTGTATACCTGGCCAGTCCTGCTCCTCTCCCCGGATTATTTTGAAGTAAATCCCAGACATTATATCATTTCATCTCTTTTACATATTTCTACGCTTCTGTCATGATCAGTAATCAGGCATCCCCTCTAATCATTAGCTTTCTAGAGGAGTTAAGTAAAATAAGGCACACATTAAAGAATAGACAGTGCTAATTTAATTTTGTGCTACAAGAATGTGGACGGCTCTCCCACGGTGCAGTCTCGGTACTCCGTGGCTCAGGTTTTCAAAATCAAAGGTACCAAATAATCTAGGCAGTAACGTTACTGCTTTTGAGCAGTAATAATTGTATTGATGATTTCTAGATAGGGAGTTCTTAGTATGTATGAAGGACTGTGAAATTTTTTTCAGCTTTTCATTTAATTTTTACAACAGCCCTATGAAGTAGGTATTATCTCCATTTTATTTGTTTTTTTTGTGTGTGGGTTTTTTTGTTTTGTTTTGTTTTTCTTGAGACAGTTTCTTGTTTCTTGCTCTGTTGCCCAGGCTAGAGTGCAGTGGCTTTATCACAGCTCACTACAACATCAAACTCCTGGTCTCAAGCGATCCTCCTGCCTCAGCCTCTGTAGTAGCTGGGACTAAAGGCACGCTCCACCACTCCAGACTGACTTTTCTATTTTTTGTAGAGATAGGGTCTTCTACCTTGCTCAGGCTGTTCTTGAACTCCTGCTCAAACTCCTGGCCTCAACCCATCCTCCCTTTTCAGCCTCCCAGAATGCTAGGATTACAGGCTTGAGCCACTACACATGGCTGTTACTATCCTCATTTTACAGTTGAAGGAAAAAGAAATTCAGAGAGGTCATAATTTGCCTAAGATCACAGTGCTGAAAAGATGGGGGATAGAAGTCAGGATGCTAATTTTGTCCTTTGTCATTGCAAAGTTCTTGCTCTTTTAACTATAATTGAATGTCCCAAGACTTGTGGAGTAAATAGAACTGCAGTGGAAAATTATTTCTATTGAGCTACAAATTCATACTGGAAAAAAGTTGTGGAAATTTACATGGGTACAAAGCAGTAGTGAGAGAGAGGTATGTTTGTTTCTTTGCAACAGTGAATGATTAATACAACTAAATTTAAAGTTATGAGCAAGTATATAAATATAGTTAAACAAATATAAGTGTTAAATTTTTAATTTTAGTTTTAATGTTTTTAGAGACAGGGTCTAGCTCTGTTGCCCACGCTAGGATACAGTGGCTCATAGCTCACTGCAACCTAGAACTCCTGGACTCAAGGTATCCTCCCAGCTCAGCCTCCTTAATAGCTAGGATTACAGTGTGTACCACCATGCCTGGCTAATTTATTTTTATAATTTATTAAATTTTTTGTAGGGCTGGGGGGTCTTGCTATGTTGCCCAGGCTGTTCTCAACTCCTGGCCTCAAGCAGTCCTTTCACCTTGGCCGCCCAAAGTGCTGGGATTACAGGTGTGAGCCACCACACTCGGCCTAATTTTATTCTTTAATATATGGCTAGTTAAAGGGGAAAGCAAAAAGGAAAAGTATACATCACTGACTGGTCTCCACCACTTCTTTAGCACATAGCATGTACTGGATATTTATACTATTTCATCTGTATTTTTCATCTTCCCAATCTTAAACTACTTCTAAAACAGCAACTTCATCCAAATAGTGTTAGATGAATAAGGCACTAGAATGAGACAGCTAGGCTTATTCAGAGGACAGTGGAGAAGGCCTATTAAATTGAAGTTTTGGGTTCCTACTGCGTAGGAGTAATTCAGAAGTCCAGAAGTAAGGTCAGGCTTGTTTGCAAAGGAACCAAGTGCCACATCTGAGGAGTTTGAACTTAATGAGCAAAGAAGATAGTGAGCTGGCACTGTCCAAGATGGCTTCACCAGAGATGTGAAAGGATTAATGTGTTGACCTGATGAATATAAAGGAAATACTGGTGAATTTATGGATATAAGGACTGGACAAAGAAAATAGCCTGAAAAAAAGAAGAAAAGACAGTGTGGTGTATAGTAGGTTCTGAAGTGCTGGTACACTTCAGTTGCCATGAGTTTTCTTGGTCAGTCTTGGTGGTGAGTATTATGCAGTCACTGTTCTTTGAAGTGTTAATTACTCCTCAGTTACTCAACTATTCTCTTGTTTTTATTAGGTACTACTGTTGATAGAAGTGATGCAGTTTAGATAAGTAACAAAGTGTGACACTATAATCCCACCATTTACTGAAAACCACTGATGATGCTTTGATAGGGAAAAAATGGTAACAGTTCTAGTTAACATTTGATTACTGGTGAACATTTTTTCACACGTTTTATTGTCCATTTGTGTTTCCGCTTGTAAAATGCCTGCTCAGCCCCTATGCCTATTTTTCTACTGGGCTTTTGAGCTTTTGTTTCTTGATTTGCCAGCACTGTATATTCATTAGGTATATAAATCATTTGTTACATTAAGTTGCAGGTAGGTTTCTCAATTACATGTCTATTTTCTTTTAAAAGCTACAGAGTGGCTAGCAAAGTGAAATATACGTATCAGCTGGGAGAGCATTCAGAGCTGCTGTTTTAGGGACTAGAACATGCCACCTCTGAAATAGTTCCTTAATTTACAATACTGAAGTTGTTGGCTGCCAGTGTGTAAGTCAGTATTACCAAATTGTATAAATATCTGATATCATGTAAAAGATTAATTTCTATAACTGGATTTGAATAGTGTGAGTTGGTTGTGGTTAAAATGTAAAAAGTTAAATAGAAAAGTTAAATTAAATCCCTATGATTGGCCAGGTGTGGTGGCTCACTCCTATAAATTGTAGCACTCTAGGAGGCCAGGTGAGAGGATCACTTGAGCTCAGGACTTTGAGACCAGCCTGAGCAAGAGCGAGACCCGATCTCTACTAAAAATAGAAAAAAATTAGCCGGGCGTGGTAGCATGTGCCTGTAGTCCCAGCAACTCAGGAGGCTGAGGCAGGAGGATCGCTTGAGCCCAGGAGTTTGAGTTACAGTGATCTATGATGATGCCACTGCACTCTAGCCCAGGCAAAAGTGCAAGACCCTTTCTCAATTAAAAAAAAAGTAGGGAAATAGATAGCTATTTCCCTATTGATGGACATTGAGATTGCCTCCTAGATTTTCTTTCACAACTAATGCTTCAGTAAATATCCTGACCAGCTTTCAAAAACGAAACATCTTCATTTATAAGGTATAATTTACTGAGTTTTTCCAGTAAAACAATTTTTTATACACATATGCAGGGAACAATAATTACTATACTACTTATCAAAATCACCTTTATACAGTGAATTTTCATCACTTCCTTGGGCCTAAGGACAGCGTTGTTGACTTCCCTCTCGTAATGTAAAGATAATTAAATGGTCATTGTTTGCTTCTATTGATGTCCATTCCAGGGTCATTTAAGATATTTGAACAGTCTTTTCAAAAGATTGTTTTAAAATATTTATTTATTTGCATGGGGCTGCTTAAAATAACAAAAATACTTTAAGAAGAAAATACCTATGTCATTCACTATGGAGTTATATTTTAGAGATCCTCACATGAAAAACGGCAGACTTTTAGTCAAATGGAAATATAACCTCTATGTCCCTGGAATTCCTGGTAATTCCTTTATAATATAGAGGGAAAGATAACCTCAAAATGTCCTTCAAAAGTTTAATTTCCTATCTAAAAGCCATTAACTTGAAAGAATTTTTATCAAGTTTTAATTAGCTTATGTTCGTAAACCTCTTAACAGTTTTACTTTTTTGTTGAGACATGTAGTGCAGGTCATGAGATTTATGCATTTGTGGACTGAAAAAAATGACATTATATGTCAGGTTCTGTGCTGGTTAATGGGAGCATAGCAATATACTTAATTTTGTATGAACAGTATAGAATATTCTAAATTACTGCCAGGAAATTGTGCCCACAGGTTGAATACTATATTATTGTTTTATAGATGGCAAAATGTTCTGACTTAAAGTCTCAACTAGACTGATAAGAGGTACAGCAGTGGTCACTAGACTTGAATTTCAAAGTTTAATTTCCAAAAAGTAGGGTAGGGAGCCCATACAGGGCTGACAGTTTTATGTTGTGACAAGTAAGGACATTTTTTAAAAAATCAAATAACATCCATCTACTGTCCTCATATCCTAAAGGAAAAGGCACTTTTACACCAAAAGTGTAAGAAAGACATTATCTTAAAGGACAGTAACTTTAAATTAAATAAGGTTTTTTTGTTTGTTTTTGTTTTTCTACTTTATGGTCCTTTTCTTTTGTATCATCAATTGGCCTTAA